GACCATCCCTCTTCTCATTTATTCCTAGCTACACGTGTTTGGATACAATCCTAACATGGGAAATGGGTTCTGCAAGATAATTAAGAATGGAAAGATCCAGAGACCACAATGCTTCTTTCATTACAACCCACTCAGTAGTCACGGTTGGGGTGAACTGACTTCTCTAGTGGGGAGTCAAAAATACCATCTTTTTCCATTTTCTAGGCTTTTATGAAACCCCTAGCCCATTTTAAAAATTTTATGCCTCTCAAGATCACCTACAAGATTTACGTATTAAGCGATTCGTAAGGGTGGGATATTACACGAACACCACATTAATAATCGATCGAGGAATCCCAACGATCAAGGTTGGAAGTGCCCACCGCCGGGGTCATTAAGATGAATTGTGACGCCGGGATCTTGAAACCCTCTGGAATTGGATTGGGATGCATTTTCAAGAACTGGAATGGTGAATTTTTGGGAGCCATTGCGGGTAAGGATAGGGGACTCTGTAGACCAGTTGAGGCGGAGGCTAGAGCTATCGTCCTTGGTTTGCGGGAGGCTAATCGGAGGGGGTGGAGTCCGTTGATTGTGGAAATGGACTGTCTGAAGCTGGTTAGAATGATGAACGAAGAAGAAGATCATACAGAGCTGGGGATTTGGTGCAGAGAGATTCGATCGATGGCGGATGCCAACTCAGCTTTGTCTGGCTATAAGGTTACTTGGACTTTTGTCCCTAGGAAGAGTAATTCTGTGGCCCACTGTTTGTCCAACTCAGCTCCCCAGTGGAACAATTATGTTGTATGGACTGCTTCCCCTCCCAACACCATTGTGGGTTTGCTCGAGACGGAAAAAGCCCAAAACTTGATCTGAGTAATTGATTAATCAGGTTTCCTATATAAAAAAAAGTAAATGTCCATAATCATATGCTCCAGCCCCAAAAACTTTCTCTATTTGATTCATTGTTATATTGATTTTTTCTTTGAGAAATTTATATAGCACTACATGAGTTTGCACTATATACTCGACTAAGTTATTCATTACATTATGCTTTTCTTGTATATTTCGATTAGATTGCGATATAATTTACTTCATTAATGTTGGTGCTTCATAATAGTTTAAGTAAATCAATTTCGTTAACAATAAAGTATGATTTTTTTTTTCTTACATTCTACTGTGAAATAGTAGAAGATGTTTGGCCACTATAAGTGGCAGATAGCTCTGTACTTTTACTATTCTTACAAATCATTAAAAGTTTCACAAAGTTATTAAAATAGAACTTATGCTAGGAAAGGGTTATTATTTAATAGGCTAAATTGCAAGTTTGGTCACTTGAATTACTAATAAATTTCACGTTAGCCACTAGAATTACTTTATTCCATCTGTAGTCACTAAAATTAGTTCAATAGTTCAAGTTTGGTCAATCTCCATTAGTCTCCGTTAGATTTTGCTGATGTGGCAGTCAACTCTCATAATTGACCGTTAAATTAATGACGTGGAAATAAAAAAAAATTAATCTTTTAAAAATTCCACCTCATTATCACAAAAAAATAAAATAAAATAATGCAAAATTGAAAAACAAAATTCATTCCCCCGACTGCCTCCGGAGCCTCGCCGGCAGCGGGACGCTACCGAAGTTGGTGATAATCTATGACCGGAATTCCAGATTTCTTCTAACTAAAGCATTCAAGGAACGATCGACACTCTCGGATCAGCAGCACTAAACATATACAATCAAACGTCTCTATCATCTCTGCTCCTTAGATCTAGAGAACTACCAGTCCGATTCTCCGATGAAGTTCATCTACGAAAGAGAAAGAACGAGCATCTAAGAGCCTTGAGAGAAGAAAAAATGAACATACCGAGCTGCAGGAGAAGCCTTCATCTCCTTCTCCCCTCTGGAAATCAACTCATCGCAAGGCATAGCAAAGTCCGCTTCACCGAATCCACCGAAAATCTTGGCGTAATCCGGCCTGGAGCCCCGCGGCTCGACGGAAGCCTTCTGCTCGTTCAGCTCGGGAACATCGAGCATCGGAATAGACGACGGTGACCAAACCGTCATACTCTTGGTTCCCGCTGCTGTACCCCCGCCGTCGACCAGCTTCTTCGCGTAAGCAGCGAGAGACGCCTACTGAGACTCCATTGAATAAGCGAAGAAAACCAAACGACTAGGGAGAATGTCTCTAAGGTTTTAACACGGTTTCTTTACATTACGTCTCCTCGTTTTGTCCTTTCCTCTTCCCCTCTCTCTTTCTCTGGTGTTTCCCGAACCAGCAAGATCCGGCGGAACCGAGAGTGTCGATCGTTCCTTGAACCAGCAAGATCCGGCGGAAGCAACAGCCAGTCATATATTGACATTTTATACATAGAGCTTACAATCTTCAGTTACCTCTCTCCCTACTAATAAAAAAAACTCTCTGTTAAATAGTAGCGGCGACGGAGCTTCTGTCGGGATTGGCGACGAATCGGGAGGAGAAGGCGCAAAACTGGAAGTACTTGTCATCGTCGAGCAGGCTTCGTCGAAGTTGAGCGAGTAGCCGACGCTGACCGACCATGATGGTTTAGTAAAATCATAGAAATTAATTTTTATTTTTTAAATGGGTGTAAAGATGAGATCAAAATTAGAAAAGCTTTAATTTTTTAATTGTCACGTCACTCATTTAACGGTCTACTATGAGAGTTGACTGCCACATCAGCAAAATCTAACAGAGACTAACGGAGAGTGACCAAACTTGAACAGTTGAACTAATTTAAGTGACTACGGATGAAATAAAGTAATTCTAGTGGCTAACGTGAAATTTATTAGTAATTCAAGTGACCAAACTTGCAATCTATCCTTATTTAATATATATAATGTCATTTGAAGATCTACATTTTACACTAATCGTCATTTGTGGCACAAGCTTCTCAAAATGATCAATGTTTAGATTCCCAGGAAAGACCTTGTGAAGTAGTTTTTCGAAGGTTGCAGCAGTTGTCTGATCTTTGGTTGTTAGAAATATATTAGCTTTGAAATATAATCACTTGAATGTTCCCTTAACCTACTTCTCCCTAAGTTATTTGATTAATACATAAAATAACTAAATTTATGGATTAAAACAAGGTTGCCTTTATAAATATTGTTTTCATTTAAGAATATAGGGATTCCCTACAATAGCTTGGGTATAATTTTAAGTTAGGTAACTTGATTAGATCGTAACCATTAAAATAAACCCTAATCACTTTAAGCCATTGATTAAAAATGAAAAAACATAAAATAAAAAAAAAAAGAAATAACGGCAACTGGAGGTGCCGGTTGCTTTTAGTTTGTGGGAAAAAATTTTTCCTTTTCTAACTTTTATTTATGGTAACTTTCCTTTTTCTATTTTATGTGTCTTGTTCTCTTTTTCTTTTTTTTTCGTGTTAATTTTTTATTTTGATTATTTAGTTATTGTACTTAATACTCATTACGTAAAATGCACATTCATTACGTAAAGCTTACGTAACGATAATTATATTTTACGTAACAGTTAAATTAGAAGCGTTACGTAAGACTTTCGTAATGACTTAGCACATTACGTAACACGAGATTAATATTCATTACGTAAAAGAACTTTCCATTACGGAAGGCTTCCGTAATGACATTTTACAACTGTTACGTAAAATACACATCCATTACGTAAAGTTTACGAAACGATAGTTAGTTGTTTCGTAACAGTTAAATCACAAGCATTACGTAATGCTTCCGCAATGACTTAGCACTTTACGTAACGCGATGTTTATACTCATTACGTAAAAAAGCCCTCCATTACGTAAAGTTTACGGAACATAGTTATCTCTTACATAATAGTTAAATCAGAAGCGTTACGTAAGGCTTCCGTAATGACTTTACACTTTACGTAATACGATGTTGGTGTTCATTACGTAAAATAACTGTCCATTACGTAAGGCTTCCGTAATGACCTTTTACAACTGTTACGTTAGGTAACAATACGTTACGTAACCATTACGTAATGCCTATTGTATTTTACGTAATGCGACCTGTAAAACCTGCTATAGCAGGTAAAAAAATTCAAGTTACCTAAGTTCAAGCTACCTTAGGAAATCCCATAGAGTACATTATGGAACTTGCCACAAACAGATCATATGTTGAGTAAACTCGAGCAGTGGATAGACAAACTCCGCCAATTAATTGCATCCAACAAGACCAAGCCTGCCCGCAATATCATCATACTTGCTTGTGGCATTCCATCAAAATGACAAACCAGCCCCCCCTCTCCACGATTGCTAGCCTTGGGGATCCAATGTCACAGTCCACGACCTACTCTTGGAGAAACAATTACCTTAAATTATTGTGTGTAAATTAGATCTACTGTATTCTCTTCTCTCTACTTATAATGGGCATTTACCCTATGTGACTTGTTCATCAACATTCAATATCTGCTCGCTCACATACGGTGGTTCAATTCAGAAGTCAAATATAATTCCTTGAACATTACACATTATTGATGTATGTTTCGATAGATCCTCTCCTTCCACGAGATGTCGATATTGCTCAGATTTTTCGAAAGAGTAATTCTTTTTAGCTTTTTTGAGTATGAAGATTGGTTGAGATTCACACATTATTGATTTTCCCCATTGTAATTTACCTTTATTCAAATACATTAGGAACCTCTGGATCCAAGAACACATGGAAGGTGCCTTAATTAATTTGAAGAAGAAGAAGAAAAAAAAATATCAATTCAATGCATAAGGACGTAGTATTAAGACATCAAAGATAACAAAAGAACATTTTTCGTTTTGAAAGAAAGGAACATAAGGAAAACAAAGAGGTGGGGGAAAAAAATTGGTGTTTGTTTCTTTTGTTTTTGCTGTCTACCTATTACTGTCATTATGTTTATTATTATTCCGTCATATTTCGGTTTCTCACGATTCATCCATACAGCAAGAGATCGAGCGTAGCAATTAAACACCGTCCCTCGTCCACGCCATTAAATGCCATTTGCAGCTTTCACCCTTTCCCCGTCCCTCTCCGCATTTACTCCTCCTCCCCTTTCCCTTCTTCCTTCTCTCTTCTCCGTCTTCTTCCTTCTCTTCTTTTCCTCTCCTCTCATCAGAAAAGCTTCCATTTCTGTGTTGCTTCCTTTTTTTTATACAACCATTAAAGTACTCCTGAAACCTTAAAACCAAAAAGAAAAGAAAACAACCCAAACTACAGGTGAGCAAGAGGGCTGGAAAGGAAACCATGTATCCATCCATCCATCCAAGCAATGGCAGATCCGTAGGTGAAAACTTGGGGTCTCCAAGAACAACAAGTAGTGGGCATTACTGTAAGCGAGAGAGCTAGGTAAAAGGGTAGACTCTACGAAGAAAGCAGGCAAAGATTATCAATGCCATAATATAGTTTATTCTTGTTATTACACTTGTCGTTGTGAAGAAATGGTGAAGGGTATCTTAGAGTGAGAGAGAGAGAGAGAGGGCAAAAGTCAGCTCTCTGTGGTGTGGTCTACCCTTTTTACCTATTTTTCCTGCCCCCAATAGAATCTTGGAAATACCCGACCCGTTTCAGTATATAAAAGGTAAGGACAGAAACCCAAACTCAAGAAAAAAAAAAGGGTTACTAAGCCCTAGGGTTCCTGGTGTTGGGGGGCGTCCGCAATATGCCCGCCGGAGTAATGATTCCGGCGAGAAACATGCCATCGGCGGCGGCCATACTGAGAAACGGCGGTACAAGTAGCAGTGGCAGCCTTGGTATTGGTGTTGGTGGCGGATTTGGTTCATCTACTCTTCCAATACTAGGCCAGGTTTGATTTCCCCTCTCCCTCTCTCTCTCTCTCTCTGCATTTATTATCATCACCAATGCATACCCTCCCCTCCCTCTCTCTCTCTCTCTCTCTCTCTATCTTCTCCGGTAATTCTTCCCCTTTCCCCTTTCTTTACAGCACCACGAAATCGAAATGTATACACATACTTCCTCATCCAATAGAGAACTCTTCCCTTCCTTATAAAATTGCATAAACGGGAAGAGGGGCAATTTCCTGATTTCCGTCCGGGTTACCCATTTTTTTTCCATTTTCGGGAAATTAAATATAATAATAATATCCTTTTTTTCTCTCGATTCACTCAAACCGCGTCCCTCGCCCGCTTCTTCACTCCCAATGGCGGAGGATATCCATGGCCATCATCGGAACACAGTTCCGCTGCAAGATCTGTTCATAGTAAGGGGAGAGTTGCATTCAACAGATTTCGAATTCTTTTTTTTTTTTTCAAATTCCAAACTCACATTCGGAAATAAATATTTTAACTTTCCTTCCTTCTAATTTTAATTTCTTTGTGAAGATCTGTTGGTGGGTGGATGATGTGATGACCAATGTTTTCTACTTCTTCTTTTGATTTTATTAATTAATCATTAATGTTTCCAGCCGGGCATGATGGACGGAATGGGAGGGCTTCAGTATCACCACCTCGACATGATGACTCAGCAGCCCACGCCGGAGAGTGACATCCCCGCCGGCGCCGGCGGAGAGTTCGACGTCAGCGGCGGCAGCGACAACCAGCTGGAAGGCGTGGGGTCCGGCGATGATCAAGAGCAGCAGGACCAGCAGCGGCCCAATAAGAAGAAGCGGTACCACCGCCACACCCAGCACCAGATCCAGGAATTGGAAGCGTAAGTTCAATTCTTAATTAGGGTTCGATTTAGCGCTAAACTTATTTCAATTTGACATCTTTCGATTAATTAATTTTTGGGGTGGGGTGGCAAATTGCTAGTTTTTTCAAGGAATGTCCACACCCAGACGACAAGCAGAGGAAGGAGCTGAGCAGGGAGTTAGGGTTGGAGCCACTGCAAGTCAAGTTCTGGTTCCAAAACAAGCGTACCCAAATGAAGGTAATTCTATTCTATCTTCTTCTTTTTTTTGTCGTCTTCCGTTGTTCTCGGCATTACAAATACAAAGTACTGGTCTGGTTGACAAATAATAATTCCATTAAGGTAATATAAACACACTTCGCTTTTTTCTAACGTTTGAATTGGGAAACAATCAGCAATTTAATAACGTATGATCTTTTCCCCCTACTCAACTCCCATGGGCCGTTACAACATCTCTTTCCATGCCTAATAATAAAAAAAAAAAGAATCTCCCCTTTCTTGACCTTGAGTGAATCAATTGCCAACTCCTTTGTCCATACTTGCATGTGAACACATATATATCGTCCGTACGTATAGTTTCGTTACAACATTCTAACTGAATTTCGATTCGAGAATAGTTACCCCTCCAATTTGTTTAGGGTGTGAACCTTTTGATATTTACATTATGACTTTCCAATTGATAATCCATATTTTTTTCTTTTTCTTCTTCTTTTTTCGAATATTGACCGTTACAACGTTCTAACTGAATTTCGATTCAAGGATAGTTAGTTACCTCCTCCAATTTGTTTAGGGTGTGAACCTTTTGAATCTACATTATGACTTTCCAATTGGTAATCCATGTTTTTTTTCTTTTTATTCTTCTTTTTTCGAATATTGACCGTCGAATTCGAACTTTTGTTTTGATTGTATAGACACAACACGAGCGAGTAGAGAACTCCCAACTGAGAGCGGAGAACGACAAGCTGCGAGCGGACAACATGAGGTACAGAGAAGCACTTAGCAACACGTCATGCCCCAACTGCGGCGGGCCTACCGCCATCGGAGAAATGTCCTTCGACGAACACCATTTGAGGCTCGAGAATGCCAGACTCAGAGAGGAGGTATATAATATATATATATACTACACCTGAAACGATTAACTTTTGGAATTCTAAGGATGATTAATTGCTTTAGTCATCCGGTTTAAAATTGTTGTCCTTTTTGTTTTTTTTTTTTCACTAGATTGATCGCATATCGGGCATAGCCGCAAAGTACGTGGGGAAGCCAGTGATGAACTACCCGCTCATGTCCTCGCCCATGGCGACACGTCAGCTCGAGCTCGGCGTCGGCAACTTTGGAGGTTCACCACCAGTAGACATGTACACGGGCGGCGGAGGAGGAGGAGGAGGAGCGGCTGGGGACTTGCTGAGAGCGATAGGCGCGCCGCCAACGTCGGAAGCCGATAAGCCGATGATCGTCGAGCTGGCGGTTGCGGCCATGGAGGAGATGGTGAGGATGGCTCAGATCGGCGAGCCCTTGTGGATCGTGGACGGCCCGAATCTGGTGCTGAACGAGGAGGAGTACCACAGGAGTTTCCCTCGCGGGATTGGGCCCAAGCCCAGTGGGTTCAAGTGCGAGGCCTCCAGGGAGACTGCGGTTGTCATCATGAACCACGTCAGCCTCGTTGAGTATCTCATGGACGTGGTAAGCACTAAGCAAGCTCTGATTAAAACGTATATTATTATCCATTATTAAGTTTTTTCCATTAATTGATTTATGATTTTTAATTAATTCGTTTACAGAATCAATGGTCTGGTTTGTTCTCTGGAATAATCTCAAGGGCGATGACATTGGAAGTGTTGTCCACTGGCGTTGCAGGGAACTACGACGGCGCACTGCAAGTGGTAATGCGTTAGTTTTAATTCCAATTATTTAAAATAGAAATAATCAAGTTATTAGTTAATTATAATTTGTGATGCTAATTAAAAAAAAAACTCCCGCAGATGACGGCTGAATTTCAACTCCCAACTCCACTGGTCCCAACCCGTGAGAGCTACTTCGCCAGATACTGTAAGCAGCACGCCGACGGGACGTGGGCGGTGGTCGACGTTTCCTTGGACGACCTACGACCGAGCCCGGTGGCCGACCGGTGCCGGAGAAGGCCCTCGGGTTGTTTGATCCAAGAAATGCCCAACGGTTACTCCAAGGTAATCAATATTCGAACGACTTAATTCTTTCACTTTCTCGTGCCTTAGAGAACCTTGTAGGAGTCATTTTCGCTATATACATTTTATCCAACAGGTGACGTGGGTTGAGCACGTGGAAGTGGACAACCGGGGAGTTCACGATCTATACCAACAGGTAGTGGACTCCGGCCACGCCTTCGGGGCAAAACGGTGGGTGGTAACCCTAGACCGGCAGTGCGAGCGGCTCGCCAGCGCCATGGCTACCAACATCCCAACCAATGACGTCGGCGGTATGTAAAAAGATGACCTCTTACTGCCCTAGCTATCTGCCTAGTCATTTAGTTTTATCTTGAAAAAAAAAGTTACTTATTTAAGTAAGTTACGGCCGGCAGTGATAACGAATCAAGAAGGGAGGAAGAGCATGATGAAGCTGGCGGAGAGGATGGTGGTGAGCTTCTGCGCGGGCGTTAGCGCCTCCACTGCTCACACGTGGACGACACTATCCGGGACCGGAGCCGACGACGTCCGAGTCATGACCCGGAAGAGCGTCGACGATCCCGGGAGGCCGCCGGGGATCGTCCTCAGCGCCGCCACTTCCTTCTGGCTCCCTGTCCCTCCCAAAAGGGTGTTTGACTTTCTTCGCGACGAAAACTCTCGTAGCGAGGTATATATATCGTTTGACAAATTGGTCACTTGTTTAGTTTAGTTCACTAGTGGATGACTATATATATTCACCATAACGTTTCAAAATTGTTAATTCACATGCAGTGGGACATTCTGTCGAACGGTGGGATTGTACAAGAAATGGCTCACATTGCCAACGGCCGTGACACCGGCAATTGCGTCTCTCTTCTTCGTGTCAACGTAAAGTCTACACATGAAGAAACCTTTCTTCGATCTTCTTCTCTTTTTTCACTCTTAATTAGGGTTTAATAATCTTTGATTTGGGTTTTGTTGCGAATGGTATCAGAATGCGAATTCGAGCCAGGGGAACATGTTGATACTGCAAGAGAGCTGCACGGACCCGACGGCGTCGTTTGTGATCTACGCGCCGGTGGACATAGTGGCGATGAACGTGGTACTCAACGGCGGGGATCCGGACTACGTGGCTCTGCTCCCGTCAGGGTTTGCCATTCTGCCTGACGGTGGCGCGGGGGCTGGAGAATCCGACGGCGTGGCTGCTGGTGGAGGTTCTCTGCTGACTGTGGCGTTTCAGATATTGGTGGATTCCGTTCCGACGGCGAAGCTTTCTCTTGGTTCGGTTGCTACCGTGAACAATCTCATTGCTTGCACCGTCGAGAGGATCAAGGCTGCTTTGTCTTGCGACAATGCTGCGGCCTGAGCTGATATTTTCAAGGTAATTGTGGCTTTCGATGGCAAAATTTTCACAAAGGGAGAGAATTGGATGGGAAAGGAGAAGTCAAGAGCGCACCTTTTTACATGATCCTCTATAATTGTGTTCATGGGAAATTTTGCCAAATTGAGCCACCAGAATTGGCAAAATTTCTCATGAGCGCTAGTTTATAACAGGGTTAGAGGTTCGGGAATTGACTTCCAAGGAAGAAGATTTGATTTGTTGTTTCTAGAGAAGCTTGATTTATATTTTAAGTAAATCTAAGATGGAAACTCCCTAGTTCTCTCTTTCTCTCTTCGTTGTAGTTTACCTTCCAAATTTTAATCATAACAATGTAGTTTTCAGTGTTCTGATGGAAAGCAGGACTATGAGGGTCCGGGTTTTGTTCGTTCTTCTTTTACCAAACATACTAATCCGGCGGCGGGATACTAATTCTTAATTCAATTTTTATCTATCAAATAAAATTTAAAACAATCTAAAATTAAAAATAAAATAGGGTTAATATCTTAGTTTGGCCTGAAGTTTAGTGTAAGTGACCGTTTTGGTCTGAAATTTACAATAAGACAGATATGGTCAACATTTCATCTTAATGGACAGATTTCACCCGAGATTTATGTTGACTATTCATATTAACGGACAAAACATTTATTCCGTCAGTGACTAAGCATTTAGTGGTGAAGTGGCAGTGATGTGGCTTCCATTTCATTTATTTATGCTAAAAAACTCAAAAAATCAAATAATAACTTCCCCACTTGCACCCTCTTCTTCTTCTCCCCTCCTACACCACCATTTTTTTCCTCTCTAGTCCAATTCCTCTTACTCGTTGATTAAATGAAACAGAAGAAGGTTAGAGTCTGTCACCGGCAGCAGCGGCGGCGGCGACGACAGAGAAAAGGGAGAGGCTTCTGGTTCGAGTTCATGGACGAGGAGAATTCATTTGGAGAAGACCCACACGTTGGTCTCGGAATCTACCGCAACGGTAGTTGTCTGGCTAGTTAAGCTCTCCTTCCTTGTCCACTAGTATCTCTCTCAATCAAACTACCTTCTCGGAGCTATAACTGTCGTGGCGAAACTGGAGGAAAGGATGCAGTGGTGCCTCTAGTGTTCTTCTCTAATCTCCAGCTCGCTGTCAGTCTCCCACACCTCGGCTTCATGTTGCAGTTATCCACTCTTGCTCCTCTATCTCTCGCTATCAAGTGATAGCCTTCCACTACTGTTGTTGGAGGATCTTCGAATGAATCGAAACTGAGAACTCAAATCCCTTAAAGTCTCCTCCTCTTCTTGCTAGATCACTGGCTCCCTCATGTTGAGTCTTGCAGACCTTCTAGGTGCTGCATAATTGGTACTGGTCAAAGTCTGGCCAGTTAAGCTCTCCTTGCTCGTCCACTAGTATCTCTATCCATCTCTCTACCTTCTTGTAGCTAGAACTGTCATGGCGAAAGTAGATGAAAGGATGCAGGGGTGCCTCCAGTGTGTCTTTTCTAATCTATAGCTCACTGTCAGTCTCCCACACCTCGACTTCATGTGGCCTCTATCCACTCTAACTCATCGATCTCCCGCTATCAAGTGATAGCCTTCCGCAATTGTTGTTGGAGGATCTTCGAATGAATCAAAACTAAGAACACAAGTCCCTCGAAGTCTCCACCTCTTCTTGCTCGATCACTGGATCCCTCCAATTGAGTCTTGTAGGCCTTCGAGGTACTGCATATTGTGGCTCCGCTTGAGGTGGACATTATCCCTATCACCTGGAGATACGATTCAGCCTGATCCATCAAGTAATCAAAGTTAACTAGGATGTCGTGGTCCTGGTGAAGAAGAAGCGCCATCATCCCCCTTCTTCTTATGCCTCTTTAACCATTCGTGCCTTCAATTCGTGCTCAAAAGAAACAAAAATAACATACATAATAGGGGAGAATAACCCTACACTTTAAGAGTGTGGCTTATTCTATAAGCTATTCATATAACTTCTCAAAGCACGTATTAGAAAGATTGTAACTCATGCAACTACATATGTCGTTTAAGAACATGCAAATGTATTCAAGCTCAAAATGTAGCAGTAGCATGAACTAACTATCTTGAAAAGTGAAAACTTTAAAACCTCCAAGTTATACGATTAGGCAAAGGTCGATTGATATGTTTGCACAAGTAAAATGGCATGACAATGGATCCAATTTAGTAATGAAATCTAAAATTAACAATGCCTTACTCCCATTGAAATCTCAAATTTTCAAAACTCATACCAATGATGATGTGATCCTGGATCGTGGCCCAAAGCCATTCCCATTGATGTTCAAAGAAGAAACGAAGTCAAGGGAAGAAGAAGCTGGAAATTTGGCCAAAGTCTGGGAAACAGTCTGTGGTGCCTATTTTGGTAGCTTACTCATTTTGTTTGGGAGACATTTGAGAAGCTAGGTGTTGGGAATGAGAGTACAAGTTTGCTCAAGATCGTGAAGGCGTTGGATGAGAAGATTGAAGCTTCCTGAACACCAAACAAGCAGCCTAAAGATCGTATGGTGATCAGGAAAAATACCCTATCAGGTGGGTTAAAATCCCCTATAGGGGATCTGAGGTTCGAGATAGGGGATTTGGATCAGAAGGACCCCAGGGTTAAAATACCCGATATGGTATTTTGGACTGACGAGTTTTAGTTACTATTGTTAAGGAGTCTTTTTCCTTTTCTATACTTTCATTAGTTTTATTTTCCAAGTCTATTTAAAGGGTTGTAAACTCTATTTTGAGGGAGAATATGTTGAATAGAAAAAAAACCTTTTCGGTTCAATGAGTTTATTTTACTCATGAATTTTGTCCTTGTTTATTGGTGGATCTCCAGCATTCGAGCAAGCTCTATATCAATCTGTTATTTCCCTTGATTTTGGTCGAGTTGCTACCCTTATATTGTTCGATATTCTCCCGTTTTCGTGTTGAGATTGCATGGTAAACCCTAAAAAGATCAAAGTTGTGCGACTTTGACAAAAGAACCTAAGCTTTCACGAGCTTGGGATTCTTATCAGGTGGTATCAGATCCTGGTTCAAACTTATCATTGATTAGAAGATTTCCGATTCAAACTTAGCGACAATTTTGAAGAGTCTCTGGTTCAAATCAGCGGCAAGAGTAGAAGATTACAAGCTTTTCTACAAACTCAGGCAATGGCAGAAGAGTTAGAGCAAGGTAATATGTTCTATACTCGTTGTTTGGTTCAAGTGAAGGTGTGTTATGTGGTTGTTAATGGGGAGATCAAATCCAATTTAATTAGTTCAAGGGCAGTAGCTAAGTTAGGGCTAACTACACAACAACATCCTAGCCCTTTCTTATTGCGATTGTCGATGCATAATGCCTTTGTGTATGTGATTAAACAAGTGATCTTGGAGATCTAAATCGGGTCTTATGAAGATCAAATTCTTTGTGATGTTGTGCCTATGAAGCTTACTCATGTGGTACATGGTCAACCATGGCACAATGATCGCCAAGCACGACGAAGAAGCCGCACCAACAACATCATATGGAGGCATCAAGAAATTTTTTTTGCCTTGAAGCCATTATCTTTTGAAGAGGTTGCTAAAGATAGGCGGCAACTACTACAAGTTTGTGAGGAGGAGCAGAAAGGCAAGAACACCTCCACATCATAAGGAAATCGAAGAAGTTATGGTAGAGGAAAGTGGTGAAGATGAAGTGGTTGAGTTGGAACGGATTGAATCAAGATATCATGATCCTTTTGTTTTGATTCTGATCAAGACTTGAGATGTATGAGTCGTCATGCTTTGAGGGCAAAGCTATTTCAAAAGGGTGATGTGATCCTGGATCGTCGCCCAAAACCATTCCCATTGATGTTTAAAGAAGAAACATGGTAAAGGGAAGAAGAAGATTGAAATTTGGCTATCTTTGGGAAACAGTCTGTGGTACCTACTTTGGGAGACATTCGAGGGAAGCTAGGTGTTGGGAATGAGAGTACATGTCTTGCTAAAGATCGTGAAGGCATTGGATGAGAAGATAGAAGCTTCCTAGACACCAAACAAGCAGCCTAGAGATCGTATGGTGATCAGGAAAAATACCCTGTCAGGTGGGTTAAAATCCCCTATAGGGGATATGTGGTTCGAGATAGGGCAGTTGGATCATAAGGACCCCCGGTCAGGAGCGTTAAAATACCTGTATTTTAGGCTGACGAGTTTAAGTTACTTTTTTGTTTAGCAGTCTTTTTCCTTTTCTGCACTTTCATTAGTTTTATTTTTCAGACCTATTTAAAGACTTGTGAACTCTATTTTGAGGGAGAATAAGTTGATTATAATAAAAACCATTGAGTGTGGTCGAGTTGCTACCCTTATATTGTTCGAGCCTTCTCCCAATTTCGTGTTGAGATTACACAGCAATTCTGCCCTATCCTTTATTTTTCGAGTTATTGAGAGAAAATTCAGCAAACGCTAAAAAGATCGAATCTACGTGACATTGACAAAAGAAACTAAGATTTCAAGAGCTCGGGATCTTATCAAATAAATTTGAAACTTGGCATAGCTTGACGCTTAAAGCTCAATTCAAAAGATGTTATCCGAGAATTTTGAAAATTTTGGCATGAACTTTGCTAAATTCATCAATCCATCCAAGCATTCAATTGAATAAAATCATCATAAGCACCATGAGGCCTCATTTCTAAGCACACATGCTATCATCATTCATTTATAAACAGCGATAGTGCCTAGCGTAGGCCAAAAATTTACAAGAGAAGTCCCTACTTTTATCATGCAATTTTAAACTTTCCTCAATCGAAGTTTGAAATTCATGATTCAACCTCCTAAATTAATCTAATGATCATGGGTACTTAGATTGATGAGAACTGCATAAAAATTAAAGAAAAGTCGAGGAACAAAGAGAGAAAAAGAGCGGCAGTGTCGCAGCGGCTCAAACCGTCGAGGCTTTTCCGGTGAGGTTTTCAGAAGGTTGTTGGTTGGGATTTGTTTTTTTATGATGGGTAGGTGGTATCTCGAATTTGAGGGTGAATTTTTAGTTTTGGAGGTGGAATTGGTGATTGAAAGTTGAAGATTTTGGGAGAAAATTTGAAACATAGAGAGAAGGGAGAGGATTCTTTTTCTAAGAGAGAGGAAGGGAAGTGAAAAATGAGGAGTTGTGAGGTGATTGTGCCCGAAATGGTCATTTTTGTAGGACCTAGGTCAGCAGCGATAGTACGGCGGGTGTGCCCGCTACAGCTTCCCGTTGCGTTCTGCATCGGTTCCAACATTTTTGCGTTAGAACACTTTACCGATAGTACAAAAGTTGATTTTGTATATTTTCACATCATCAAATCCTTCTTTCTCATCATATGTTCCAAATTTGTTCCAAATGTAACACTTATCCAATGAGTAACTCAAAATTTCAAGCCAATAACAAACTTTTTGAAATTTAAAAATTAGTCTAGG